ATATGCAAACAATACTATGAGTTTTAAATAACATATATTAATTATAAAATGATTATGGATACAATTATATTTTTTTTAATAATTTTTGTTTATATTTCATATTTTTTTTATTAATTTTCTATAATGTAATAATTTATTTTTTGTTTTTTAATTATTTATTTAAAATTTATAAAAAATGTATTGTAATTGTATGTTTTCTGCATGCTATATATCAAAACACAAAATGATATCAATCGATAATTCCAATTAGATTTCTTTCATTTACAATTTTTAAAAGATTTATAATAATCAATAATACACATAGATATATATATTTTTTTTAAACACAAATATTAACTTTCATAATTTTTTAACTAATTCAACACTATTATTTGATAATGAGAAGCATATGGATAACAGTTGAAAAAAATATATAATTGATTATATGATATATAAAAAAATAACTTAATATATATATAAATTTTTGAGATAATGAATACATTTCGATTTATTTTTAAGATTACGTAATAGCGAAAATGTTAAAATATAAATAGGAAAAAAATTATAACATTTATATCTATATCTTCATTTACAAATAGAATTATTTATACAAAATACGCAGCTAATTGTGCCATTTTATCTTTTGGAGGACGAGGTTTACCTCGGCTGCGACCTTTTGCGTGGCCACGGTTACGAGTTGTAACCGGTTTCGAAGCGACTGCACGATGCTTTTCTACAAGAGCCATGAAAGCTGGAGTACAAAAGACGCAACCAGTCATTTCCGTACTTTCATTAGGTAACTTACTTTTTTCCTACAATTAAAGAAAAACGAAAGTTTTATAATATTCTTTGAACATAAATAATTTTCTTAATTACCTGTTTATATTCTACAGTAACTAATTGAGCTCCACACTCGCACACTTCTGTATCGACTGTCACTTTATGAGCATTTTCGAATAAATGAATAATAACATCACAACGATTACACCCAAGTTTCCATTTAGGTGCAGCTGAAGGGTCAAGGACGAGTATACCAGCATTACATTCTAGACAACTCGATATGCCATTAGAATTCATACCATGTGGACAAGTCGGATGTGTGCAAGAATTGCAACCACTTATTCCTTTTTTCATATCTCTAAAATTTATAATTTTTTTTTATAATTAAGATTTTTATGTTTTAAAATTGTTTTAAAATACATTCATATAATTAGAATTACCTAAATGGAGGATTATTATAACAATATGGACAGAATGTGAAACTTTTTCCTCGTGCTCCAGTAGACCATGACAACAATTCGAAATCATCTAATGGACATTTCAATTCCTTATAAATTCGAATGTTTCCATTCTGTGGAAGATTATACGTTTCGTTACAATGTGCACAATGCATTCTAGATGGCTTTGTTTGTATATATTTCATGTAGCGTCGACATTTTCCACATCTATATAAAAAATATTATCAATAAAAGAAAAAAATAAATATTTATAAATAAGATAAATATTTAAAATAATATTTAAGATAAATTGTTATATATGTTTAATTATATACCTAGAATGTGCTTTTCCCGACGCAGAAAGAGGAGAAAAGGAAACTTCAAATAATTGATCCATTGCTTCTATATTTTTTACAAAATAATGAAATTTTTGTTTGAAAATTTCAACTGTATGTTGTAACACAGCATGAAAATCTGCTCGACCTAGAGCTATTAAATTTAATTGTTCTTCTACTGCAGATCTCATTGTAGGTAGAACTAATTCAGGATCTATCTAATATTAATAGAAAATTATCATATGAAATAAATGTTTTTTATATATATAAAAATAAATATGTACCTTTTGATATCCATGAACTAACACAATTCCTAAAGAAGTAGGAACTAATTTTCTACCAGTTGCTACATTAACATAATTTCGCATACATATATTATTTATGTGTACTGGAATAGAGGCATCAGTTCCAATACCATGTTTCTCCATAAGAGATATTAATTCAGATTCTGTCAAATAATCTGGAGGCTGTGTATAACATTCAACTAACTTTATCTACAAAAGAAATAAAATATAGTTATCAATTAATCAATTAAAAATCTTCATTTTATACATTTACAACCTCTTGTATGTTGACTTTTTCACCCGGTGTAAATCTTGGTAAATTATCATTACTTCCAAGTGCTTGCCATGTGAGTATGCTAGTATATCCAGGATCTAATAAACTATGACCATTTGCTGTGAATATTTCCATTCCTATTTCAAATTTAATTGTAGTACTCAAATATTTACAGTCGTGAGCCAGCTACAAAATAAGTTTTCTAAAATAAATGAAAATCTATATATTAAGATATATATAATAAATAATATTTATACCGTTGCAATAAAGTGTCGAGTTATGTAATCATATAATCTCCATGTATCCCCATCGAGTTCATTTCGTGTAGCATGTTTCATTGGAGTAATAGGAGGATGATCTCCAACATTGCATCCTTTTTTTGGTCTATTAATACCAGTCGTTAATATCTTACGAACTTGATCTCCCCAATCAGGATTATTCTGCTGCTGTTTTAATGCTGCACTAAATATAAATAATTTTACATATATTAATTTTATATAATTAATTAATTAATTTTATATAAATTTGAAAAAATCCAAATTTTGAATATTTATTAACTTACAGCAAATCAAAATTTTCTGGATATAATGTTGTTTCAGTTCGAGGATAACTTATATATCCTTGAGTATAAAGACGTTCTGCAATCTGCATGGCATGATGAGGACCCATTCCTAAACCTGAACTTGCTACTCTCATTAACTCTACTGTATTTAAAGCTATAGGTCGTGATTTTGTTTTTTCTGTACTTTCTACACTTATGATCCTATAATTGTTAATAATGTAAATATAATCATATAATTATAACACATTTAAAATAAATAATTAATTTTAAATAATTAAATATAAATATCTATAACTTACGTTGCTTGATCATATTCTTTTATATGACTTAGAAACATATTTGCTATCTCCTTGTCAAAAGATCGCACACGAGTCCAGTTCAAAATAATGTCTTGACCATCAGAAGATTTAACTGTAACCTTCAATGCATTCGAGTTTATCTTCTTCCTCTTACTGAATCATAGAGGGATTATATTCTGACATATAAGAGGTAGCTACATGTCAAGATAAAATATAATTATTCTAATAATAATAAATTATACCTGTAAAACCCAATAAGGATCTGGCTTGAATGTTTGAATTTCATCATGTCTTTGCACACAAAATCCTAATGTTGGTGTTTGACAAGGACCATAAGAAATTAGAGATACATCTAAATCTCCATATTTACCCTATAGATGAAAAAAAAATTATTAAATTAATAAATTTAAAATAAATTAATATAATAAAAATAGAACAAATTTTTTTTTAATGATTCTACCTGAAAAAATTTTGTTTGGAATCTTGTGAAAGCACAACCAATTCGTAAATCCAATTCTTGACGAGCATCAACACTTTTTGCTTCATTTTCATTTGGTTTTATTAAATTTACCAATGCAGATTTTATATCCTTTTCTGTAATGGCAGAAAATCTTGCCCTCCAAATATCCTATAATAAATATAAAACTCAAAATCCATAAAAATCATTAAATAAGATAATGTGAAGAATTAAAATAAAATTATAAGAAACTTACATTTGGATTTAATCTTTTGTTCATTCCTTGCTGAACTGCATATATAACTTCAAAACAAATATTTTCACCTTCTTTATCACAATCAAGCCAAAGAACTAAATAATCACAATGTGCTCCTTCCTTAGCTAAAAAGTATGGTATTTTTAATCTAGGAACTGCTTCTTTTTTTTCAGTTGGACATGAAAATAACTCTGCCTTAAATATAACAAAAAATACATGGTAAATGCATGACAAAAAATATATTAAAAATATATAATAAAAGTATGATAAAATTATAAGATAATATAAGATTATAAGATAACTTACAGGATCAACTTTATCCCAATTATTATACTTTCCAATAAAATCTAAAGTCATAACATGACCAAATACAGAAGTCATTTTAAAGTTTACAGTTTCTGATCTAAACTGTCCTATCCATTCATGCACTGAACACGATCCATTTAAACCTGAAATGTTTTTTTTATTAAAATATGCATTATAAAACATAAATAATAAATAAATTATTAAATATATTTAATATTTTTCATTTAAAACTCATAAAATTATATGTGCATTAAACTTCATAAAAATCTAACCTACCTTTTCGTGAAGTGCATCGACCGTTACTTAAAATATTGGCTAACGAAGCTGCTAATGATGGCTTTTCAGCCACCATCAAAGCTGTCTTCATTTTTATAAAAATGTTTATTTATATATTTTGATTTTTTATATAAAGAAATATTAATTTCTACTAAGAAAATCTATATAAATCTATATATTGAAGAAGGTAACTATCGAATACGTATGACATATCCTGCATTCCAAAATATTTAAGAAGCTATTAAATTATTTTAATATTAATAATAATTTAATTCTTAATGTTTATTTTTATTATTATTATTTTTTAATTGTAAAAGAGATTTTGAGTTTGGTTTTAAAACAAACATTACTTATAATAATAAACATAAGCAAATTCACTTTTTTGATATAATGCCAGTAAAGTTACCAACACAACAAGTTTAGATTTCTATCTGTAAATGATTTTATTCATTTCTTTATGAAAAAATTTAATTTGATTGATTGTAGACAGAATCAAAGAAAATAAATTATATTTTACAGATAAGTTTCTACGAAAAATCTCCATTCATATTTAATAATTTTTTATGAATAGTAAATAATTAAGAATAAATAGTTTTGAAAAATTCAATAAATTACTAGAAATGTTATTGAAATAATTAAAAATTTCTTTGTTGTAATTGTCAAATTAATATTTTAAAGTCAATTTTATAAATTGTATTTTAATGTATATTATTTACATATATATATATTCTTAATTTTGATATCGTTGCAACTGACAAGTATTCTGTAAATCTTGTTACAGTATTATGATAAGATCGTATCGTATTTTCTATTTTAACAAAAACTGAAATGTCAATCAAAATCAAAATTGTCTGATATATATATATATAATAATATTAATCATTTTGGTATTGTGATTCATACAGATAGTCTGACAGATCGAATTTTCAATATAAAACTAACCTAAAAAAAGTAAATTTCGAACAATCAAGATTTCTATAATTTTTAATATAGATACATTTAAATAATTATTGGATACAAATACTATTATTTATTTTAAATCTATTAGATGATTTAATAGATTTTTCAGTTTTTAATTTTGTTTAAATAAAAGCAACTATTTTAATCTAATTATTATTTTAATCTTTCTGTTTTTAATTTTTTACGTAAAAACGTTTTGAATTTTTTACAATCATTTTTAAACTTTTTTATTAAAATTTTAATAATAATAATTTGTAATTAATATATGTTTACATTAATTTTAATAGGTAAAGTTGGAATATTTCAATCATGGAGTGGTTATTTGGAAAAAGAATTACTCCTGAAGAAATGCTTAGAAAAAATCAAAGAGCATTAAACAAAGCTATGCGAGATCTTGATAGAGAAAGAATGAGAATGGAACAGCAAGAAAAAAAGATCATTGCAGATATAAAAAAACTTGCTAAAGATGGTCAAATGGTAATCTGTAATTTAATTTTAGATGATGTGTTTAATTTTAATAAAATTTTTTCATTAATAATTTTAATAACAATAGGATGCAGTGAAAATTATGGCAAAAGATCTTGTAAGAACTAGACGCTATGTGAAAAAATTCATGCTAATGAAAGCGAATATTCAAGCAGTATCTTTGAAAATTCAAACTTTACGTTCGCAAAATACCATGGCACAAGCAATGAAAGGAGTCACAAGAGCAATGCAAAACATGAATAAGTTAAAATTTGATTTATTTTTTCAAAATTATGATCAAAGACAATTATTGTTTGCTATATACAAGATGTCTGACTAAATATTATCATTTTGAATTATATCATTATTATTATTTGCATTGAGAAATATTTTAATTAGTTTCAAGAGATGTATATACTGATATTATTTTTTGTAAGTGAATGCATTAAGGACATATAAAGATCAATTTTTTAAATAGAATTATATTTTTTTATACAATCAATGTAATATAAATATCAATATAAAAAAATATTAACTTATAAATATCGAAAAATGATTACGAAATATTTTAATAATATAATAAATATTGTTAAGAAAACTTTACTTGCTTATTAATAATTGCATCTCTTGAAATTATTTAATGTCAAAATATCTTATATATCACTGCAAATAATAATAATGATATAATTCAAGATAATAATATTTAATGAGATATCCTGTATATAAATTATATATTTTTATAGACAATTAAATCTTCCTCAAATACAAAAAATATTGCACGAGTTTGAAAAACAGTCAGAGATAATGGATATGAAAGAAGAAATTATGAATGATGCAATTGATGATGCAATGGAAGATGAAGGTGATGAAGAAGAAAGGTATTTGTATAATTATTAAAAATATTTGTAAACATTTATTTATTAAATATTTTAATTATATTTATATTTATTGTATGTAGTGATGCTATTGTGTCACAAGTTTTGGACGAATTAGGTCTTCAATTAACAGATCAATTATCTGGTTTACCACAAGCTTCTGGTTCACTAAGTGTAGCAAATTCTAAGCAACCAATTGCAGCTGCGACAGGAAATGATGAAGGTGGAAATATTGCAGATGCGGATGCAGATCTTCATGCTAGGCTTGAAAATTTACGACGTGAATAAGAAAGTGTTATGTAGCTGAAATGTATAAAAGATGTAAAAAAAACATTGATGTTGTAAGCATAATTAATTTTATAATTTGCTTTATATTTTAGTTGAAAGCAAACACTTTTATTATAGCACTTGTTTTTTAATCACTTATTCTTTTAATCAATTAAGAATTCATGAATGAATGATAAACAAAGGCATCTATTTAGATTATGTATTAATCTATAATGTTACATTTTTATAAAAAAAAAAAAAAATTTTAATCCCTTATGGGCGCAAAACTCATTATGATTACAATGGTTTTGATATTTTTCTTATGGATGAATTTTCATAACATATGGAATTTGGCGATATTTAAAAAAAATGTGGAGTCCGTCACGGAGCGGTTAAAATAATATAGAAAGATCTCTCTATTAAATTTTTTAATGTTTCTGTGCATATTTTTTGCACAGTATGATTTTGTAAAATGAATATTTCACACTTAATGTGCTTATCAAATATATTGTTACAAAATACTTACTTATTATATTTTGATAATTACATGTACATAGGTTTTCTTGGAAAAGTTATACGTACATATACATATATGCTTTTATTTTTTTAAAATACATTGTATACTATTGTAAAAGTAAATAAGAAATAAGTTAACAAATTTTATATTAAAAAAAAAAACATTTTTTTGTGCATAATTATTTAAAATAAAAATAATTATAATTATAAAATAATTATTTAAAATAAGTAATGGATAATTTTATTTATTCTTTCTATCTTTCAGTTTCTCATAGCATATTCATTTTTAACAACTATATAATGGTAAAAAGTATATTTTATGTTCAGATATAATTGTATTAATAAAATTTATTTATAAATTGTATGAATTATAACAAAGGAATCTGTTATGTATTGACAAATTGATTAATAGAAATGCAGCGAAACAAAATTGTCAATGATATAAGTAATATATATGTGAACTTAATAATATATTAAGTAGTATATATGTGAATAATACATGCATATATTTCAGTTAACAATAAAAATTATTAATAAAACAAATAGATGATTTAAATACATTCTTTAATATTTTGATAAATATGAATAATTATACATTATAATTTATCACTAAAACTATATTAAAAAATTATTAAAAATAGCAATGAATTAAATGATGTAAAACAATTTGACATTCTATATTATTATAAAAAAATAATAAAAAATCGCATAAAATTATTATTAATTAGTAATTTTTATATTATAAATAAAAATCGTTTTTTTTTTAAATTACTTAATATAGCTTTTAAAGATTTTAATAAGTTCGTTTTTAAAGTTTTAATAAATTTGTTTTTAAAGGTTTAATAGTTCATAATATAATAATCAATAATTATGTGAGAAATATTAAATATTATTTCTATTAAACAAAATTTACATAGACATAATAATATGCATTAGATAATCATTCTAATATCCTGATCATGAAATGCAGGTATAAAATAGAAATCTGGTCTGGTTTCGAGCATGGTTTAGTTAGATGTTCAAAATGATGAATACGAAAGTTTAATTAATCGATTGGATGCACTGAATCGTTAATTCGTTATGAAAAGTTTATGAAATAAACGTATATGTTATTTTGTAACTGGACGATATGTCCGATGTTATTGATAGAGACAAAAAATAAAAAAAAAAATTGTTTTATATGATATTACTAAAATCGAAAAACAAAGAAAATTTTAAGGACACGTGAATTTTTCGAATGATATACAGATTTTTTTATAAAAAGTTAGTCAAAATTTTGAAAAATAAAAAATATATTGCGATAAATTGTTTTTACGATAAATATTTATTGAAAATGTTAATTTATTATGTTCATTTTTCTCTAATCTAATCATCAATACGATTGATTCAATTCACGTATCCTTTTAATTTCTTCATTCTCCGAATAGTAAACCCTATAGAAATACGATGTAGTTTACAAAACTGTGATGAAATCTTTTGTCAATCACATGTATATATATTGTCAATATCTTTTTTAAACATCTCAGAGGTACTCACATACTGCTCAAACATAACGTACCCCAAGCTAGAATTAATACCGAAAAAATGCTTTGTAGCGCCCCCGTTATGTTCACTTAGAATTAAACGCTTTCAAAAATTCGCGCCATCCTTCAATACTTCGATAGTCATATGAACTATCACATCTATACTAGATAATAGTAGTATAATAATAGATGATAGTAAATATTGAATAAAATAAAACGTTTGCAAATTCATAATATTGGGAATGAATTTGTTTCGCTTATATGTATATAATTGAATAACTTATATGACTTTAAAATAGCTTGTTATGATTAAACATTAATAATTTTCTTTTGATGGCAAAACTATTTTCATAAGCGATATGTATTGAATCATGCGAGAGGATGTAATCGATAAATCGTTTGAAGGTTATTACGATTGTATTCTGAATTTTGTTGAAAAATTCGCGTAATGAGATTATTACCCTGATATTCGTGCAGATAAATAGAAATGAGGAAACAGAACAGGAATTTTAATTTGCTTCGAGTATGTCTACAATTCTGTGATTTTTCGATGGTACGCAATCACGGATTTTTCGAAAATAGCACCATTTCTATAGTAATAATTTTCAGTGAGTACAATTTTATATACATATTACTCAGGATCGATCCGAAAAGTTACAAATGGAACGAAAAAAAAATTGTTTTGTCCTAAAAATATTTTATAATAGAAAATAAAAAAAGTGAAGAATATAAAAAAAGAAAATAATAGAATTAAGAATAATACGTAATAAATTTGAAAAATCTGTTCTTTCTTTTTAAAATACCAATAAAAAATTTTCAGATTGACCCTTAGTATTTACTGGAATAATGTATAAGATGCTACGATACAATAGAAAATACGCAACATTGAACTTCATGTTATTATCGCAATAATTATACACTTCTTGTTGGATGATATTGGATTATAGAACAATTCATTTTTTTCGTTTAAATATTCGCTATATAAGTGTGGAATTATTAGACCTTATATATTGTGTGTAATCAGTGCATTATGTACGTTTTTTGTTTGTACGCTTATATATTTCTTACGTGTATGTTGGTATGCGTATGTATGTATATGTACATATATACATACATACTATATACATTTAAGCTATGTCGAACACAGCCTTCTCTAGATGCAGCAATAAAATTTGACAGTTTTTTTCGTATCCTTTTTTGTTCATTCCTTAATGTTCATTGATTTTATGAATAAGAAATCCAAAATTATTATTTATTTATTGTTAGATAATGATATTGTTAGAAATGTACCAATACCAATGATTGTGACTCGATTATTGAATTAATTTTTATTATGAAAAACATTTGTTTAATATAACTCTAAAATAATAATAATAATAATGTTAAGAAAAATTATATAAACATTAACTGAAAATCATAGAATCAAAAAATTAAATTTTTATAAAATTCTTTCTTGACTAAATATTAATCACAAATTCAAAACGATAATTTGCTACAATATGATATATACTTGATATAACTTTTATTATATTCTATTTTTATGATCTCAACGTACATTTTTTGTTCATTCCTAAAATATGTATTTTTTTTATAGATTGTACAGAATTAAAAACATCGAATTAATTATACTATTATATCGTAAAAAAGAAGAACAAAAAAGAACGCGTCAAAATACTGTTTAAACTAATCATGGACATTTATAATAACATACATAGATGAGCAATAATTAGGCTTTCGATTGAAATCGCTGATCACGTGAAATTCTGATTTTATTGATTGTGCATTTATTTATTTGTTCCATGATGACGATTTGTCACCAAATATCATATTTTCTAGAATATTTTTTGTACGTTTTTTTTTTCTGTTTTAATTACGAAGAATTTTCCTTTTAATTCTGATAATAAAATTTAACTATATAGTATAATTAATTAAAGGCAATCATATAAACTTTATATAAGAAACAATTAAAAATTTAACGATGAATTAAATTTTTTAAAAAGAGAAGGAATATGTTCACTCTTTAACATTTAAACCTTTTCCATTCCCGAAATGTAGAGAAGATTACCGATATATGTATGTATACACGTATACATATATTTATGTATTTATATATTTGTATATGTATTTTTTTTTTCGTATTCTCATTAAGATATTTACAAAAAAAGTGTAGCAAAGTATGCTCGTCATAACATATGAACTGTAATATCACTGGATTCGTTAAACTTTATTTCTTTTTTTTTTTATTTCTTTTCGTACGTGCGCGATCGTATATACTGCTATGATATCTACGACTTTTAACGATTTGTAAATTGGTTTGACATTGAATCAACAATTTCACGAACTGTATTTATATGTGTCTTATACGTATCTTTTTCCTTTTTTTTTCCTTTTATCTAGTGAGTTTTTTCGTGATCAATGTTTTTTTTTTTTTTTTTTTTTTTTTTAATACATATATTTATGGAATACATTCCGGTCATAACAGGTCGAGATGATTCAATACTCTTTATTTGTTATCTCATGAATTATTCCGTTGTGTAACCTGTCATCGAACTTTTTGCGACACATTTTTTTTTTTTAAGAGTCACAAAAATCGTTTATGGAGTCATGTCTTGTCGTGAATATATATATATATATATATATATATATATATATATATATATATATATAAAATTCCTTGGAAAAGCAAGGAATTGAATTTTACTAAATTTCGATTATTCTGTTGTTACATAATTTATTCTTATCGAATGGTCCGATAGTTATTGCGATATTACAAATATTCTATTAAAGTTCTGAGTTATTTCTTGTTTTTACCCTTTTGAATCCGGTAAACTAGAAATCATAAAATTCTTTGTTTATGAAGATACGTGATTACACTTCAATTTGCAATGCCGATAGCGGTGATAAGACAGACATACTCTATATTTTTAATTTTTTGGTCCTTTTTTATATGAATTTTTTTTTCAAGTCCTCCGTCGGTATGATAGATTTTTTTCTCGTCACGATTCAATTTCACCAAACTATACTTACTTCGCAAGACTTTCTATTTCGTATGTCGTTCGTGATAATTCGTAACTAATTTCATAAAGATCCTTGAATTCTCTTATAACAATCCATCCAGGTACCACCTGTGGAGTATATTTCTCCTTTAATTTCACTTTCAAGTGTATTTCTTCTTTCAAGTTCTTCTTTTGTATAATTCAAATTATATTTATTTTTCTGTACATCTATTAGCAAATATTCTGTTCGAAATAATTAGAGCAATCCTATCCACAAAAGAATCTCGATCTAGACTTAGTGTATACATGACTCTTTCACTTTTACCAAGCACTGCAAATATTAATATTTTGAAATATATTAAGAAGTATTTAAAACAAAAGTTAGTTTCATTAAATATTTTTTTCTATTTTTAATCTTTTTTTGTTAATGGCTATTTTTATGACAAGATTCTTCTTATTTTTAAATAAAATTCATGTTTGCTAATTAAAAAATATATATAATACTTATGTATATAATGAAATAATAAATTTAACTATGAAGAAAATACATTTTGTTCGCAAAATAAAATTAAATTTTTTAATATAAAAAAAATATTGACAATATGAATAAATAATATGAATAAATATTGACAATAAAATTATATATAAGACTGTACCCATAATATTTTTAAAATTTTCACTAAATGTTCAATGACTTTCTAAGCATCAAAATAGATGACTCTTCAATAAATTTAAGTAGCGTATCTTCCTGTTTCGTTAGCTGAATTTCCTCGTGGTAATAGCGCAATAACATTCACTACATTAGAACAATAGTTCCTGTACAATTTATTATTCTAAACTCTCGATTTTCATAATACGCTGTTTATGAAACACGCATGGTAAAAAACGTTATCGAAGCATTGTTTTACATTTTGGAAGTGATCTATGTTTGTCGAGCAAGAATCATTATTTTTCATATTATTTATATCATAAAAAAAAAAGAAAAAAGATTTCTTATAATTAATGCAATATTAAATATTTAAAAAAACATTAAGAAAATCGAATGAATATACTAGACAAATTATATACAGTTATTTATATTCAAGTTCGATTCTTCCTATTCTATTATTTCACCTTTTTTAATTAAATTTGAAAAGGTATATTTTTTTAAATAACATAATAATGTTAATAAACTTTGAAAAAACATATTTAATTTATTTTAAAAAAAAGATAAATATTGTGTATTTTTATATATATTATAAAAGAAATCTTATATAAAATAATTTTATAAACAATAAAACAATTTAATAAAAACAAAATATTGAGCAATAAAAAGAGTGAACATACTAGAAACGCTACTATATATGATAACAATTGTTAAATTATACAGATATACATATTTCAATGGGAAACATTGTACCCGTTTTTTCCACAGAATGATTATAATGACTGACGAATTTAATGATGAAAAGATTAGGAACTACAAACTCTTCTAATGTTTAAATTAAAACTATACTTTTTTATCGATTCGAGATTAAAATGGAGATTTTTGAACAGTAACACAATGAACGAGGAAAGAAGAAACATTTGGTCAAGCATTTAGATGAATAATACAAACTGCTATTTTACTAATATCGCTTATTTGATGAATTATCTTTTGTTTACCGATCTGTGCGCTTACGTCGGAAACGTTTTATTTTATTTTACATATTTACACTTCGATCCCTTTTCTTCTATAATTTGCCTTTTATCTCTTACATTTTTCAATTTTTTTCATATTTGATATATATCTAATAATATTATTTGCAAATTAACAAAATTCACCGATATATGCATCATGAATTTTCAACTTTATGAAATATTTTTTTTGAATTTACACGATACTTCATATTTTGATAGAAGAAAGATTAATAATACATTAAAACTAACAAAAACTAATTTCATCTAATTGCACGAATATTCCTGATTATAATAAAAGTTACACTTCATCTCTTTATTCACAATCCAGTCTTTTCAAAGTCTTTTAAATTTTTAAATCAATCTCATTCACAAAAATTTTAATATCTTTTTAATTCACTTGCTCAGGTAATTTGTATTTAACTAATTCAATAAATCACATTCAATCTCAAGTGAACAATGAAAAAAATAATAATAAATTCACGTTACATTTTCACTAGCCATCAGCCACATCTATGTATATCACATACCTCCTTGAGCTTCATAACAAAGAAAATCAACCACGATTTTCATCATGGCGTATGATACTCGCAAGAAATAAATCGAGAAAAATTGTTGTTAAGTTCAGCGAGTATCACGAACTGATTATCCTTGCCCGAAAAGCGATCTAATAGGCAGCGTGGCGACGTAAGAGGCGCAACGCTCCGCGCCAAAACGGGACAGGGGCGTCCGCCTCGAGTCATATAGTCCAGACCTGTACCTTCTCCGCGACGATGCACCAGCTCGCGTGATCATAATATGACGAGATAATGTGCAAGTTCTCCACATATTTATTGATGAGTTGGTCCAATTCACCCTCTCTGAACACGTGATAGTACTGATGATAGGTTATGGCACCACCTCCGCGATCGGATGGTAAAGATTCCTGGGATGAAGATCCACTGAGAGAATCATTGCTTCCAGTTGTAGTTACCAGACAATCAGTGCTGCGTTTGCTATTGTCTGGATATCTAGGTGGCGTCTCTTCAGAGGCAGATCTTCTTTGTAATTGAAGTCTTCGTTTCTCGGCGTACGATTTTGGATAATCGGCGTTCGAAAGTAACGACATCATGCTGCTACATAACCTTCCAGTAGATTCTGCATGGCTTCCGTCACTGAAACTGATAGTGTTGTCGATAGATTCGCCAATGTCACTGGATTCCATGGAATTTGCGCTTCGTAGATAGGGTTTCTCAGAAGATTGTTTATTTGTGGAAGTTTCTTTTTCGTTCATAAATTCTCCGGTATTTGATACCATGACAAAATCCATTATATCATCTGAAGTACTTCTATGCATCAATGAATCTTCGTGAAAACCATTATTGGTATTACTCAGCCATGCAATTGTATTGGATAAATCATTGTATTTAGATTTGTTAGACAGCGATGAAGAAATGTCATAAGGAGTTGAAGATTCAAGATTTCGCTTGTCCAAATCTTTTTTAAGAGGAAGTGCTTCATCTAGGATCTGCTGATTGTTTTTATTTTCATCTCGCTCATGTAACAAGTTTTCACTAAGTTTTTCAGTAAAGTCTATCAAATGTTTACGACATTCTTCGTTCCAAGTATCTTCTACTTCTGGTAACTGAATATTCGATTTTGTTCTGATCTTATTTTCATCGGAATTTTCGAGATCGCTCTGTTGTGCTGTTTGCATTGAAAATGGTTTACTGTGCGTTTTTGTAATGGCCGTCTCTACAGCATCTTCCAAAGAACTAGCAACATTAGCCGCAGCTTCCAGAAGTCTAGAAGATTGAGACAAACTATTGTCTCCTATTGTCTTTATTTCATCTTCTTTAAAATCGGCTACATATCCTGATAAATCAACTGTTACGTCACTAGGTTCAGACATATTTTCAGCTGAACTATCTAATACTTCAGATTCTGTACACTCTGATTTGTTATTATCCTTCTTAGCCATATACCTTTCATCAGAAATCACGCTGATCACAGAACCTACTGAATCCGGTGAAGAAACTCCACTGGAATCGCTATCCAAGTCATCAGTCTCAGGATTAAACAGCTCTAATGAAAGCAACCGTGGCAAGACTTTAGTAACGGCTTCTAAACGACCACTAGCTGTCGTCGAAGCTCTTCTGACTAAAGGAAATGACGGTTTGGTTCTTGTTGCAAAACCAGGTTTCTGTTTTAGTAATTCTTTGATTTGATTCAATCTAGCTTTACGATTCTCTTCTTCTTTACTGATTTCAAAATTATTCTTTTCCTGCAATGATGTATCAGGACTATTATCTACATTCTGTAAAAGTGGAGTTGTATCTTTCACAGTTTTCGTTTCCTCAATTTCCACATTCTCAGTCAAAGATCTATAAGCATGTATAGCTTGCAAGCTAGGTTTTTTGTCTTCTAAAAAACTATTTCTTCTGCAAACTTCATTTTCAATATTTTTCTTATTACTCTGCAAATCTTCATTAGTTGATTGATGGTAATCATTATTCAAAATCTCTGTCTTCTTTGTATTAATGGAATTATCTCCAGACACTTGTTGCTGATTGGAAACAATTGCTGAACTAAAAAATGATCTGGTCAATGCAGAATTTAAAGTACAAGGAGATAGACCAGGTGGACTAGACGAAGGTAGGGATTTACTGGTAGCTGGGAATTGTTTGAGCAATGGGGATATAGAAATGACTTTTAATCTTGAATTAGGTGTATCAGGAGGTTGTTTGACGCGTGGTGAAGGGGGAGCTGAGATGCTTCCCAATTGATGATGACCATTAGAGGCTGGAATAATAACCTCTGTTGCTGGCTGTGCGTCCTGCTTTGGCACAAAAATCACGGACGCGAAACTGTCCTCAGAATCGACACTTGTATCGCTTTGTAAACTACTGTCTTTCGATGAATCTGAACCATCCTCGCGGGATAAACGTCTTTCAATACCCTCTGTCTCCCTTTTTGGTACGGAGACAGGCTGAACTTTCGAGTCGTTATTTTTCGTCTTAGATGCTTCATCGTTTAATATGTTTGACGTTGTCTCATTTTCACTAGATTTCCAACCTTGTAAAATTTTTACAAATCCATTCTTGATTGATATACCAGATACTTCGATATTAGTCGTGGATTGTTTGATCTTATTCGTAAGGCCACTTTTCAATAGTTGAAATCTCTTTGTCGCGTTTACGGAATAAAGGGAGTCTTTGAGGGATTCGAAGGTTTTCCCTTTACAAATGATGTCCTCATTTAAAGATGCCTGTTTCATAATATTTCTTCGTACTCTTTCTTTCTCTGCTAATCTATCAGTAGACATTAGTTCCTCGTTCATCGAACTTTGTTTTAAGATACTTCCCCGTTTCGAATAATAATTGGATGTTATCTGTTATATCAAATACATATAGAAATATTAATATTTAGCCAATATTAATAACTTATTTAAATATAAAAATTTCAATTTTGAAACATTAAAAAACATTTCCTTGTTTAAAATATTAAAGTTTAGATACATAAAATAATAGAAACCTGGAAGTCTGGAATGTCCTTAGATAGTTCATGAATGGCAGTGTTATCAGGATGTTCCAAACCAATGTCGTCTATGAAATGAGACTTCTGTTTAACCAACCGTGGCTTCGAACCACTCATCGAAGATGATGTCCTGGATTCTCCATCCAGATTCAATTCGGATGTCAACATGGAGCATAGACCAGGAATGCTGGATCTAGATCGTACAAGATCCAGTCGTTGAATCTCTAAAATATCACCTAAACTCTTCGATTTGATACTCAGAGAGTCTGACTGCTTGTTTAACGTCATGTTAACATCCTCTACGCGACGCAACTCGATGGGCAACTCATCCACGTCCGGTGGTTCCTCTTGCTCGTAGTCCTTTCGATTCTTTCCACTGCCGCTCTGCCAACTGTCAAGAAACCAAGGTCGACTTCCAGATCCACGTCTACCTCCTGCTAATTTCTAAACAAAATTTGGATTCACTTTTTTCAATATCTTATAAAATACATAATATAAAATATAAATATAAAATACATAATATACAGGATATAGTAAATTATACATATAACTATATTTGTATAAAGACTTTCAGTCTTTAAATTGCTACAGTTTTCTTCGAATTAATTATCCTTAAAAATCACTGAAGTATGATATAATCTGAATTAAAAAAAAAAAATTTCTAAAAACTTTCTTAATTCGATTGTCATTCATTTTATTTAAAAAAAAAAAAAAACGAATATTCAAAATTTTCAAATTCGAAGAAAACAATTAAAGATTCTTTTCAAACTAATCTAAATTATCGATTATTAAGTAAACAACAAGAGGCGATATTCATGTATCATGCTGACGAACAATTTTTCCGCATTTTATCCGTTCCAATTGCATCCGAAGCATATTCCGCAAGCAGTTAGCCTACTTTTTTGTATGGAATATCATTACGGTTGCGCACGAAATCGATAAGACTTGCCAACAATTTAACTACTTATTATTAAAAATTATCGTGTTATCGTCTTACAATAATATACATGTAAAAAGTTTAAAAGAAAAAAAAAAAGAAAAAAAAAGAAAGACAGAAGAAGCAATTTTAATATTGGCACGCAATTGTATAACATATATTATATGATAACATGTAATATATGATAATGGATTAACTATTCAAGGAAAAATAAAAATGTATAAGTATATTATTATAGTATATTATTATAATAAATATAAGTATATTTATTATACCTGCAAAGCACGGCGGAAAAAGCTGTAGCACGTCTCATTTGGACTGGATAAACTACTGGTTGATGGTGATGGACTGAATATCGGGTCGATCCAATAGCTTTTGCTTTTACATTTTCGTTGGCTATTTCTGAAGCAAGAATCCCATTAGCACTAATTATCGATGTCAATGCCTCGTTTTAAGCGTTTTATGAAGAAGAAGAAAAAATATATGTTTTAAGAGAAAAAAAAGATAAACTAGGATAGACGAAATATAATTTTCAAAAATTTCCAAATATTTTCGATTTGAATTTTAAATATTAGATATTAAGTTTAAATGCAATATTTTTTTATTAATTTTTTTTTTTTTAGATATTAAATTTAATTTTATTATTTTGAATTATTTAGATAATTAGATACCTTTTGGAAGATGATAAGAATTTTTGAGCATTTTGATTGGAATGTAAGTTACTGGCATATGGTGCACTTGAACGTTTTGATCTATTTGAATTCATACAGTATGCTTTGGGCCATGGTATTAAGACATCTTGAGACTCGAACTGAAAAAAAATAAAATTTGCATATTTTTACTAATAAGAATTTTTTAAATAGTTACTAAAAATCATAAATTTTAATTAAAATACAATGTGTTTGAAAAAAAAAATTTCCAGTGCTAATTTAAAAAATGTATAATACCAATAAATATATGAACAAAAACCTGAGTTAAAAAATAATATTATCTGCAATAGAAATTCAAAGGTTTACCTTGACTACTACGTGCATTGGAATAATCATATCGATTGACCGTCATGCTTGCGTGGGTGTATTTCAAGGCATGTTTGAATACCATTTCAATTCAATGGTATCGGATGACGACATTTTTAAGCTCAATCGAATAACCTATATATATATATATGTATAACTGTATCTACAAATCCTTGCAATGGCTTGTAATCCAAAATTAAATCGCTTCTCATACAATGTAGTTTTTGGTACATTCAGAAAATTCTTCACTATGATTAAATATGTATTTCTCGCTTAAAAAAAAATTAAATAAATAAAAATAAAAATATGAAAAGGTAATATGAAATATAAATATGTGGTAAAAATAAAAATATTGAAAAATAATATAAAATAAAAAATGATTTAAAGTATTTAAATCATTTTAATTTTGTTTACCTTTCTGTGTTTCTGTTCCATAGCCCATACTGATATAACCAATCGACCACCGATCCGTAACACCCGCGCGAGTTCTTTTAGCGCGTGAACCCGCCTCTCTATTGTGGCGAAATGATGCACCACCGCGATCGAGAGAACCGCATCGAAACTCTCATCTCGAAACGGGAGGGCTAAATTGTCGCAAATCAGTACCTAAACAATCAATTTTAACAAAATTTAAACATTTCAATTATAATTCTTTGAAATTAAAAAAATTATTTGTTAAAAATTGATTTAAAAAAAAAAATTAAAATATGCGTATTTGAATATTTATTTATATTCATATTGTATAAATAATATAATTTTATTATTTTATTATTTTATTATTTTTAATATAAATATAAAAATATCTTAATTCAAAAAATTATATAAATCATTTCTTATCCTTCTGTATATTCAATGAGGATATTATTAGTCATTTCTTAGTTCAAGTATAATTACAAAATATAAGTGGTGAGAAAAACTATCTTCCGGATATAATTAAGGACGCTACTTATGATTATACTGGCAAACACAGGAAATAGACATAAGAATCTGTTTCCGATATCAGATTTAATTTGTATATACATATGTACATATATATTTTCTTGATAATTATTGATATTATATAAAAAATATACATATATATATATATATTTACCTCATTTTCTTTTTCACGCGCGATATCAGTAAAACGTTTGCATCGGTCCACTCCTACCTTGAAGATACTATGATTAACACTCAAGTACTTCCCGTTACCACAACCTATATAAAAATAATATTAGTTAATAATTTCGGAAAAATTTTAAGAATAATTAGGATTAGATGGATGGATTCATTTAATATTTTAAAATGTTGTAGCAAAAAAAAAAATAAATAAATAAATAAACGTGTACTATCTGTATAAAATAATTAAATAATATATAGTTGATAAAAAGAAAAAAATTTTAATCAATCTTTTAATGTAATATAATATACTTTAAAACTCTCTATAAATAATAAATAATAATTTTAAAATTTTATAAATATTTGAATGATGCTTTGATCATTATCTTGTATAATTTTTAAATCGTATTTAGAAAGATTTAATCATGACTTCCGATTTCGATTTAGTCTAATCTAATTGGGAATCGTTAGCTGATCATTATATAAAAAATGAGAGAGAAAACCGATGACTGAACAACTGAAATTAATAATATATTTGTTAGAACAATGTATGAAAACTGGATCAAATGTGAAACATGAAACGACATTAAAGTTCGATGAGTTTGTGTAATCTAAAGAGAGCGGATCCCACGGTATTTCAGAGATGGTTACATATACGATGTGGGATCAGCCGTGCGCACCTAACCTATACATATATATATATATGTAGGTATACGTGTATAATCTGCACGGATTTGCGTTGATAAATCTATGCGGAGGTCAATTGATCATGTGAAAGCACGAGTAACAGGAGTTTAAGCAAAGAAAAACTAGGTAAAAGAAAGAATAAGATAATAAGATATCAATAAATATCTATGTAAAGACTATATGAATATGTATTTTATGGGATGTATACAATTAAAATATTAGTAAATTGTCTGGAATCATCAACTAGTTAATTTGAATTTTTAAATATTCAATCACACGAGTTATTATGATATAACTCATTGAATATGATCTTTGAATATTCAATTGTTTTTGAAAGTTGTTAGTTTATTTATTAGTAATTGAAGATAGTGAATATGATTAAAATGACATGAAAAGGAAATAGAATGGTGATCAAATAAATTCTATATAGGAATAATTTGTCTTAAAAATATAATCATATTTAATAGATTTGGTTGATTAATTTAATATTTTATATATAAAAAATAATCACACAACGTAAATATATATTATATCAAGTATTATATTCCGTACCATACCTTGTTTTAAATTATAGGTTAGACAATTAATTAGATGAGAAAAATGTAAGAATATAATAAGGTTGATTTCAAATACAGGAAAAATGCATATTCAGATGATTGCACAATGGATATTTCACAAGTAAAATTACCAATGTCGCAGACAAGGGCTCCTGGTTCTAATTCTTCAAGAAATTGATAGATTCGTGGCCAATGTCTACTCTGAACTGTTTTTTCGGCGCATTGTTCGTAAACTTCATGGACATAGGCTTGCTCCAAGGCCACCGACCGTGCTACTTGTTCTCCGTCGCTTTCAGACATCCCTCTCGCTAAGATGGTTTACCCTCATCCACACGCGTGTCCGCGATACTGCAAGAAAAATCACAATTTCTGTTATTCGTTTATACAAAACAACATAACCTTAAAAGTCAAATACATTTACCTGAATCATAATTGGGTATTAACTCGTTGAAAGAGTAACTGATTAAAAATTTCGAATAAAGTTACTTTAAGCAATTAATTAAGTAATTATTTATTAAAATACTTGAATAATATTTATTGATAATTATTATAGTTGATTCGTTTTTCATATAAACTCGGTTATTTAGCATTACAGCATTATTTGCAATTATTTCAATGTTTTTTAAAATTTTTAAATTATTGAAATAAGTTTATTCTTAATTTCAATTATTAAATTTTTCTCATTTATGATATGAATAAATATTTTAGAATCGGAGATATAGTACAGAAAAAATAACTATACCTATACATATCAAAGTAATAAAATTGTTATTTCTATTCATTTGTTTATGATAAACTAGCTTCTACATAATAACGCATGAAATATTTTTATGATTATAACCTGTTGAAAATTATTTTGTTATTAAATCATATATCGAAATAAATCTGTTGAATTTCCATTTGTTATTCTATTTTATTTTGAAATGATTTCTACAATCAGTCAGAAACTTAATAATCATCAATAAGAGAAATCGAATTTGACTCTTAATTAGAGAGAACTGAATTGCATAATCTGCGATCAACAAGAATATATTAATGTAAAACTTTTTATATATTTTTTTTAAATTGACAAAATTATTTATAAAGTTATAAAAATTCGAGTTATATTTATTCTATATTAATAATTACGTATTGTGTCACATGCGTGATTTTATACTACATAAGATATCAAAAACTTTTCATAGCAAACTTTTCAATTTATATCCCGATGCATTTCCATTTGCTCTGTTATATTGAACAATCTGTTATGTCCTATTGTTTTCCGTTTATCACCCATGATATATAGGAATAAAATGTTCACTTTTAAATTACTTGAGAAGAAAATAACTAGAAGGAGAAATACATCTAAATGCTTACAAAATTCTCTAAATATTTTATTTCATTTAAATTAAAAATTTACTTATAGAATAAAACTTTTCGATATTTCAATTAAACATGAGATTAAATTTATTTGGTAATTCATCGATTGATATTCCTTAATCGGTAATCAACAAGGGATTCCGGTTTCAAAGATACCGGTTCATACTTTCTCGTCACTTTCATTTACCAAACATTTTTTACACGTGTTCTGTTTGTATATAGGGATCGTGAATGTTTAACATGTTTCAAAAACTTGATTCCAAATAGATCTTTATAGATATATCATCAAAGTTTACATCTCATCTAAATAATGAGGTTACATAAAATAAAGTTATAAATACTTGTCTGGAAGATACTTCCATCGATACCAAAATAACAATCCTAAACATTCTACATTTCATGTACGTAAGTATATATCGTCCATCTTTAAAGGAACCTAACCTATTTTTAAATATTGGTCCAAACTTTTTCATCAAGTTCAAGCAAAATCATCCGTGAAAAATTCTGTCTTTGACTTTCATTCGCTTCCATAGTCAAAGACTGGAAATACTCAAAATAATTACTTTTTTCCTATTTGAAATAATTAATATTTTTTCGATTTATTTTTTTATAATGAATTTTTTTACGATTATAAAAAAATTTAAATTTATTAATTTTTTATTGTGATTTTAGCAAATCCCAGTTGAAGGAAAATCTAATTAGAAGATTAATTAATAATAAAAAATAATAAATAAAGATAAAACAGAAACTAAATGATTATTCACACTTAATTTTTATACTAAAAATTTTTCATTTAAAAGTATTTTATTTTAAATTTTTACATCAAAAAAAATTAAACTATGAAATTTTAAAGTCGTTCCAGCAATTTTGCAAAATGTACGAACCAGAATCCACAGGTAGCATATTTGACCTAATTAATCGTCCCTGGTTTGGCCTACATTCTAATGAATCGTGTATTGACTAGAACGGCACTGCTTTACGTACGAGATAATCGGTAGACAGCTGTCACTTGAGACCAGTTTCGAACACTGGCTTTCAATGTTAAAAAAAAGTAAAACTGTTATACACAGGCTAAACGTTTCAAGGCAATGTATTTAAAATAATTACTCTATCAATTACTCTATTATAATTGTAAGAAAATTTTTAAAAAAATTTTCGAAGTTTCATGTGTTTTAACCTCACTTTTTTACCTTTCATCTTAATCATTTTTCATCAAACGAGTAGAAGCTCGTCATCATCATCATCGATCACAGAACGATAACTTGCTCTTTCTCGAACAAATGTTTCCGAAGTTTTATAAGCAAGGAGTGAAGGACCCTCGTTACAACGTCGTCAACATCGTCGACGTAAACAGGTCGAGTGGTCTTTCCGTTAATGAAAAAGAAATTCTGTAAGATGTCCACTCGTGTTTTCGTCACGAGAAAAACGGTGGAAGAAAAGAACACACTGTTCAGAAGGAAAAACAAATTGAAAACGGAAACCACATAACGATTCCGTGGAAAAAATCGAGTACAAACTAAGAGCTCTTCACACGTTGAAAACAATGATTACATCTTACATCACTTGTTGGCAAATAACAATTTTTTTGTAAAGCTAATTCTTAAATATTTATTAAGCATATAATCTTTTTCTAAACACACATTTTATTCTTATTCAAATACTATAGAATATCTCTAATTCAGAATGTAATGCACTTACATTCCCAAGAGCAGACCGAGAGCAGAAGAATCTCCACAAATCTATTATTTGTGACAACAGGTACATTTTCAAAAATTTATCACAGTTTTCCGTTAACAAGATCGGATGGCGGTGAACATCCGCAATAGAACAATTCTTGGAGGACTTTCAGGATCAATTTATCGACTCTTTGTTTCTCTTTGTTCCCTGAACTGGCATTCCTATAACGTAGATAGGGAATCGTGTAGGCACGACACCAACGAAGAAATTCACCGGTGTCCTCTGTGCGAATGAACGTCACGATGGCCCAAAGCGTGCACAAGTTCCGCGACTTTCGTCTGGTTTGGAGATAAAGCTGGCAGACGTCCAGGAACGTCATCAGATCGACGACGCCCCTCCCCATCGATAATGTGAACAGTTGTTTTCGATTTTTCTTCTAATTATATATTTCTTCTAAATAATTTTAATTTTTAACGTTTCCTTTTTATAGATTTAGAATAAACAATAACTGATTGCTCAAAAATAATAAACTTTTTGGTATTTTAGATTGTTTCTGAAAAGTTTTGATTTGTTAGAAATTTTGTTCAATAGTTTAAAATAGATAGATAGATTGGTTGGTTGAGGATATTTTTAATAATTTAACAGAATTATTTGTTAAAATTAATGATTTTTTTTTTTTTTAGAAATTCATCATAATTACATCATTTTAATGTTGATTAAATTTACTAAAAGTTTTGCATTTCAGATATTTAGCAAAATCTTCGACGGAGATATTGATATACGAGTTCTTTAGATTTCTTTATCAAAGATTTACACACCATAATAAGATTAAAACCGTAAAAATTCCTTTGTTTACAAAAATTCAAAAGAGCTTGATATTTAAGATTTAAGTTAAGCACAAGATTTCTCATTTTTTTTTTATCATATGCTGATAATCGTATTTTATAATTATTATTTATTGATACAATGAAGTTTATCAAGAATCCAAACAAATATCAATCAATTCGATCAACAATTTAATTAAAAGATAATATTGAATATCAAGTTCTTCATTATTAAAAAAAATCCCAAATGATAATTATTCACAAATTATAATTTTATTAAGAGAGAAAAATATATATGAACGCACACATATAGAAGACCGATCTAAACTTTTTCCAATTCTACGGTATCTACGGTCATGAAACACGTGTGTATATTACAGAGTTAGAACAAAAAAAATAAACCAATTTTTTCAATTTAAACAATAATTTTTTTTTAAGAAATCGGGCGTTCTATCAAATATTTAAAAAAATAATTGGAAAAATAATGATGGAAAATCGAATTAAATTTCTCTCACAGACATTGTGAAATCGTCAATGCACTATCGTTAACGCGAAGTCAAATAAAAAGAGGTGGTCGAATGGCGCACCACGTTTAAATGCACGGATCGCGGAAATCCGTGGTAAGATACTAGGCCTATCGAAAAAGTAATTCGTGTGTTCTTCGATGTCGTTTCCAGAGAACGATGGGATCAATCCGTGGAACCGTGGACAACATCACTGCTCTCCATTCGCCATGATGCTACACCGCCGCCCCCGCGCGTTCTGTGTACAGCAGCCACCGATAGAGGCGACGGTGGTAGCAGGTGGTAGTAGCCAGTGACTTCAAAGGTAATGTAGAAGTCTTGTTTCTCTCTTCTATCGTCGTCTCTTTTCATCTGGGATGGTCCTCCCATTCTCTTTCTCTCTTGTCTTTTCCACCCTGCATCCAACACCAACGCTCTCTGATTATGCGTCTCTGTCGCTCTTCGTCAAAGCTATCGTGCTTTTCCACATCATGATTTTTTGCTATACGTATATGTAACATATATTTTTTGCTATACGTTTATGTAACATATAGACGAAAAAAAATCAAATAATTCTCTAGGTTATATATGACAATGAATCTTTAGAGATCCATTCGAGTTGAATATAATATTGAAATTAAAGTTGAATTCTTTTTTTACTCTCGCTGGCTCTCTATTATTCTCTCTATTACCTTCTTCGTTCTCGCTTTGAAACAAACAATTATTCATTACTCTTTCTATTCTTTATATATTTTTTTTTCCATTCTGATGTATTGAACTAGAAGAATTATTTTTAATCTTTAAAGTTATATTTTTTTTTTGTTTCATTATTTATAGATTGATAATTTTATATTAGTCATTCTATTCTAATTCATCCTATCCTATTCCTCTTTCTATGATTGTATTTATTTTACAAATGATCGATTAAACTTTAATGTTTACGTTTATTTTTCTTATTGTATATTAAAATTTTTTATTTTGATCCATGATTCTTTCTAGTGTTCTATTAAATGGCAACTTTATAAAATTATAATTTGTTTTCATTCTAAAGTTTCTTTTTTCTTTCTTCATTTTTCGTTTTATTGAGTTTCTATGAATATATCCCTCTTCTATAATTTCATCTTCTCTTTCTGTTCCCTTTTCACTATCCACCACGCACACTATTACAAATAGATAATTCACGTACATACACGTGCTGACGCCACCAATATGCGGCTGCGCGTTGAATTTATTCGATATCCTCTTTCGCATAACTGGGTTAATTTTGGTGCGCTAGTTTAATTAATTTAAGGACGCACGCTGGACCAACGTCAATGTTATTCCGACCATCTTAACTAGAACGCGCGCGCAATTTAAACGTATGATTCTTTACTTCGAATTTTATAATAGCCTATACTTCTGCCTAATTATTTTAATTAGTCGACATTTTGCTTCTACGCTACTATCACTCATTCATTTATGAACTTGATACTTCAAAGACAGAATTAAATTTATAAAGAAAAGAATATGATGTTTTAAAGAAGACATAAACTTTAACTTCTGTCATTGTCCTCAATGTAAAAACTAAATATAATTGTTCAAAAGATAATTTACAAATTTATTCGTAAAAATCTAACATTGTTGATGAGATGAAAAATTGTAATTTGAAAAATTATTCGTAACAAATAGAATAATTTCTCAGTGAAAAGTATTATTCCTAGAGAAGTAGCAATATCTGAGCAGAATTCACAGCTGTTCGAAGTGATAGTGAAAGTGTCGAAGAGAAAGGAGAAGATAGTATCAGCGCGTAAACACGCGTTTAAACGCAATTTAAAAATAGGTAAAAAAATTATTATAAATCTCTTTTTCAATTTTTTTAAAAATCAATATTTTTCAAAAAAATAAGATTCGATTTCTCAAATATTGAATTCTCAATATTTTTTTTTGCTTTTCACTGCCCTTTTCTTTATTGAATGATTATTTGAATTTATCTCAATATCTTGGTCGTATAATTTATTCAGTTATCTCAACATTTTAATGTATCGTTATATTTATAAATTTGTATTCGGAATATATTAAGACATATTTACATTTTTATTAATAAAAACCGGTCTAACTAGAATTGATTGCAATCTATGGTTGAAACTGATTCTGCCTAAGGAATTCATTATTATAAATTTTTTACGGCACGATCATATGATCTTTCCTTGTTTTTTTCAATTGAAAACAACGAAGAGAAATATATAAATCGTGCAGTAAAAAGTATGCAAAGGGCCTTAATTTATATGATTTAACAATTAAAGCTAATAATTTGTTTTTATGGATTGTATTTTTTAAAATTATACAAGAAATTTTTTTCGATTCGTTAATTCAGCAGACGATATATATCGAAGGTTATTAATAGTCTGATGTAATCAAAAGATATTTTTAATTGTATAAAATAAAAAAAAATTTTAAAAATAAAAAATTAAAGATTTGAAGTAAAAAATTTTCTAATCACAATAACAAATATGATTTATTTAAACGGAAGAAGAAAAATAATTATGAAAAAATTTACAAAGCAATATATTTTTTTTTCCTTTTTAGCTGTACATTTAAGATTTAAACAATAATTAATACTCTGCGATTTGTTTGTCGAGTAAAAAGGCAATAATTTCAATAGATGATAAATCACGAAACAATGAATGTAATTAAACGATAGTAAAATACGCATATAATATTTACATAAAGCGTGAATTATGTACGTGAATCGCATAATAAGGTGTGCTAAAGCACCGTTAAGAATCGTTAAGTTTATTTTATTGACATCGTTACAATAGCGTAATATCATCACTTTAAAAATAGTATTATTTTTTTGCGCGGAAATACTCGTTCAATATTTTATAATATTCGAATAATTCTCTTCTCTCCTCATATAAAGTAAGAAAAATATTAAAACATAATATCATTGGCACTTCTTTGAAAATCGTATCTCTTAGATCGAAGACCACTTATCTTATAAAACGATTAAATTTTACATTTATATTTGATGACAATTAGTAACAATTTTAAAAACAAAAAAAAAATTGATAAAAAGAAAATTTCTTATACAATAAGAAAACACAAAAATAAATTATAACGAAAAATGAATCATACGGTGAATCGAAGTATAGAGTGCTGATCGTTATGAAGTTATGCAACAAAGGAACCTTTGAGAGTAGACCTGTCCTCACCGATCGAGCGCTGTTCACGCAATAACTTGCAAGAATCAGCGCAGCTTTCACCTACAAAATCTTACGATTTCTTTCAGAGATTCATGAAACGTAGCACTTTGGGCCGAATATCTGAATCTATTTTTTTTTTTTTATTTTTATCAAACAATATATCAAAAAATTATCTAATATTAAATTAAAAATCATATAGTTAAATTCACAAAAACGACAAATCTTTTTAGCATATTCCAAATGGATCCATTACATCGTGTTTAGGTTACTTTTTCGAGTTAAAATATTTTTTATAATAGAAATCATGTTACATCTCACGTTTAATCAGATAATCATGTGATTCCTTCATTCGCAATGTTCTATTTAAGTTTTTGAATTAATTTTTCTTTTATATGAAATGAAAAGAACGATACAAATTTCCAAACAAATTCTTTATTTTTTTTTTTTTATATTTGAAATGTCAGGGTTACTCTGAAATAACGTACATTTTTCTTCCTTCCAAAAAAAAGGAAAAAAATTTGTAAAGATCACCGATGACCTCGAAAGATATCCTTGACATACTACCAATCTGTTCTTTTTCTCATAAAATCTCAATTACTAAAAATTCTAATCTCCCTGGAGCTGATTTTTCATCCTCTTCGATGTATATTTCTTGTAATATATACATATATGGCATAATTTGTGTATCTATTAACAAGGTCACTTGATATATGAGTAACAAGTTTGTATTATGCAAGATCAAAAAATTTTTCTTATTTTTTTTATTTATTTTAATTATCATGTTAATTAAATATCTTTTACTTTTTTTAGCAAAAATTCAAAGTCCCTAGAATCTAGGGTAAAATTGATAAAATCTATCTATTGATGCAGAATTGTTGTTATTACAATATAATGTCGTGATTGATATAACAATGTTATATTATTTTTTTAATCTCCTTAATGTAAAGTATAAGATCTGGTGTACAATGACTGGATCAAAAAATAACTTTTTAATCTCACGAGTATTATACTGTATACGTTGAAAATATTGAAAACACATCGTACAAGAACATGAATTTTTACTTTTCATTAAATTTAAGTTTTTTTAGGTTAGGTTTCAATTAAGATTACTTAACTATTAATTACTTTACTTTGTACAAGGATATGAATTTATATTTTTCATTAAATTAAATTTAAAACGGATTTAAATTATACAGTTTGTTAGGTTAGGTTTGAATTATATTTCAGTTAAATTCAAAATAAGTTTACGTTCCAATTATGATTCAGTTGGGTATCAATTTTACAGAAATGATAGGAATAACTTGGTGACAATTTGCAAAACGATAGTGATATGTAGAACATAGAAAGAGAAAACAAATAAGCGGAAAGTAAGGAATGAAAACGAGAACTAGTCAAGAATTCGCTCGTAATCACGGTCATCGAGTATGTAGACGGATGAAATAACTATGCACACCGAAAGAATTTCGATCTACATGAATCGAATTTGCCTTTTTTAAGAAACTTCGATAAAAACTAAATGAACTTTTTTCCCTTTTTCGTTTTTTTTTCCCGATTTCGGTTTTATCGGTTAGGGATGATATTATAAAAGATTAACGTGTAATCTTGGGACAAAATTATTATCTAAGAAATTATTACAAACAGTGAATGACGATCGTTTTCAATTTCAGATACGGATTCAGACACAATGCTCGACTCGACCCACATTCCATCGAAGGTGTAAGGACATGATCAATTGGGTCACAAAAAAACCGGTGTTGATATTTTCAAGTTCCTTCGTTAGATTCTTACAATTGGTTAATAATCAAATATTAATCAAAAATAGTAACGCAATCTGTTGTGGATTACGGTAATTTTTAAGATTACTTGCGGATTGTATTGCCAAGGATGATAATGTCTTTTTATGGAAAAAAATCAAACGATTACGTGGAAAAATTATTTCTTATATTTTTTTTCTCTGTTAATTTTTTTTTTATTTTTATATTTCAGAATGGAAAGATTGCAAATTTTCTTAAAAGGAAGATTTTTTTAAAAATTTAACCTAAAAATTGTAAAATATTTTCAAAATTATATTTGTACGTATATTTTCGTATAAATTTAACATCTCAAAAAAAAACATTATCATCTTCAAGTCAAATATTTTTCTTCTAATTGGTTCTTCCAAATCGTCGTTTCTTAAACGTTTTTTTAACTCATTTGTATTCAAAATAGAGATTTCTAAAATCCATGCGATACCATTATTGTCGATATTTAATTCTTCGCAATATTTCGAAATTCGATAGACAAGATAAAATCTTCAATAAAGTTTTAATCTTTTCATTTCTTATATAATTTCATTGAAATTGTATGAAAAAAAAGAACATTAGAGTAAAAGATACTTATAAAAATTGGTAAAATACAGCGAGTATTACCAAACAGTTGGAAAATTTTATTTTCTTCGATAAATCAATCATTGTTATTATAAAATTTCGATACATTAATTATCAGTACTGTATATAACTGTATATTATAAAATAGAAGATTTCATTCTCAATTTCGAATATGAAAATTGAAAAGTTTATTTAAAGAATTCAAATATTCGATATTGAAATTTTTAAAATTTCCTTGTTACAAATTCACAATATAAAATATTACAAGAAATCCTTTTTAAAATTCATTCATGCCAAGATGAACTTTTGCCATCCAAATATGTTTTCTTACGCGAATTAAAATTACAAAACAAATATAGTAAAAAATTCAGTTTGGCCGTCACAACTGATGATGGATACGCAACGAAAATACGCAGAGGCAGCAGACAAAGGCTTGAACGTCAGAAATGAATCGTGTTAAGAAAAGAAAAATGATTGTTTGACCGATCGTGAGAATAAAAAAAAAAAATAACGGTAGACATTTTGATCTTGACATTTCCTACGTGTCATAACTCGTTTTAAAAGAAGGGAAAAAATAAAAAATCGCGTAGGATGCGTTACATGCATAAATTTAATTAATAACGAAGCGATGAATAACATTTTTAAACCTTGAACAATCTGTCCGTTGGCATTTGTAAGGTTAAACAAAGCTGGCCGACGGATGTTCGATTGACACGGAATTTTCTTTTGTTTTGGTTAATATATACTCGGCAGATTATTACAATTTCTCTGACGCGAATTCTCGGCTCATGCGCGAGAATAGATCGCTCTCTAAAAAAAACTGCTTTCATTCTCCGAGGAAAAGAATGTCCTCGGCCTATATAACGTTCGAGCATCGATGTTTCGGGAACGATTCATACTTCTTTAGGAATATTAAGCTTTTCGGAAATCTTCTCTCTCGTTGTTATTTTTCTTTCTTTTTTTTTTTTTTTATTCTTTTCTAAGCAAACGGATCGCAAGAAGAAATTTTTAAAATGTTCAAAGTACAATTATCGTTGACTATTTGATTTTTTATAACAATTCGAATATCTTTTTTATCTTTCAAGATTGTTTTAAGAGATAAAAATTTTTGAGATAAAAATCGAAACGAAGTAGAATTTTATTTAATTTAATTGACATGAGAAATATAATTTAATTGATTGTATCTTGTTCTTCGTATTTTTCTTGCCATTGCATATATATATATATATATAAAAAATCACGCGATTCTTACATCAAAAAGAGAAAAAGACCAAGCATAAAGATGACCTTCGAATGTTCAAAACTTCTCCAATTATGAAATATATATAATCATATTCGTAATAAATAATGCAACATGTTCGATCTGGAAACACTGTAATTATAATTCTAAAAATATTTACTCAAATACACCTCTATCCTAAAATCTTTAAATCTTATTTCATTTTGCGATATTAATTTAAATCTATCTATATTGTCTATCGATATATCTACATAGAAAGTAAATTGTCACCATATTTCTATGTAAATCAGATGTTAATTAAACGATCTTACTCATCATTTCTTAATCTGCGTTAACCACTGAACGATTATAGCGAATCCAATCCCATTCAGTTTCACAGCGTGGAAAGAAGAATAATCGCTCGTAACAACGCTTTCTCTGTTGGTAAATGAGCGATGAAATTGCGATTTTAGATCCTATCTAAAATCTTTACAATTTGAGCTTTTGAATTAAAATATCATGTAACCATTATTTTATCGATTCATTATTAAAATCAAAGCAAGATTGTATTATATATATATTTCATAAGATGTTAATTGAATATTTAGACCTTTAGACTTCTCGAGCTCTTTTTATCATTATTTTTCGTTCGTTTCTCCATATATGTAAATCGATATCGAATTGATATATCTTGCATCGCAAGATTTTCATCTTGATACTTTGATACACATTTTAAAAGTTAATGCGTTAAACATATTGTCAAATTTGATTTATTATTTTTTCTCCTCTTCTTTTAATCTTTCAAATCATAAAAATTTTTACGAATTTTAAAATTGTTTGTTGAAAGCATAAATTGATTAATATTACAATATTGATTATAATATTGATTATAATACAATATTGATTAATATTGTTTGAATAGAAAAAAAAAAAAATTGTTTCACGGATCTACGAGCTTTGTTTCTTTGCCAGGAAGACTATTACTATTACTACTAATTTTAGACCAAGAGGATTGACCTTTATGGGCGAGGCACTTTCAACGTGGTTGATCATGAACGATCGTATTCTACTGTTCCGCACTTTCAAACCGCAGTTACACTACAGTCTAATCACTCTTCCTTTCATAGAGAATAGAGAAGAAGTTATCTGCTGATCCTCGAATTTTTGCATAGAAGTGAATTTTGAAACTCGTTTCCCCTCGTTTGTGATTTAAATTTCATTAAACTAGATATACGATGCTTAATGATCAAACGAAAACAAGATTATAAAAATTGTTAAAACTTTATTTTTTACAAAAATAATTTACGAAATATTTTTATTTATTAATTTATTCGAAAACGCCTTTTCTAAATCATTTAATATTTACATTATGTATATGTGTATATTAAAATAATATTCGATTTAAATGATTTAAATCGGATCAGAAATAAAAATAAAAATAAAATGTCGAAGTAAAATATGCAAAGTACAGGAGACACGGAGTCGATGTCTAGGTCAAAACTGACGTAGTCAGTTCTATATCTAATCATTTATTATAAATACCATTAAATACCTTACTTCCGATCCTTAAATCGACCGAGATAAACAATCTAATTTAATTCCTCTTAATGTTCCTAATTTTCTAATTTTCTTTTTCCAAATCCAATTTTGCAATAACGATCATCTCTGAAATAATTATTTCCTTTCCTCGTCAAAATTTAACTAATTTTAAGTCACTATGGTTTATTTTAAATTTTATAATTTGATCGAAATTATAGCGTACTTGTCTCTCAATGGACACAATAATAAGATAGAAAGTATCGAAAGACGGAAGACAATGACACCAGTGCACATATAGTATACATGGTAAACCTTGCTTCGATCAGGTTTTTATCGCGGCTTCGAGCATAAGAGAATTAATGGAAAAATTCTCATATCCTTTCTAATCACCAGACACAATAGTCGAGTGTTTCAACTCGAGATTAAAGTTTTCAACAATGTTGTTTAAAATATTGCACGATTTGTGATTAATTCGAATCGTGTATGTGTATATATATATATATATATATATATATATATATATATAAATCTAAATAGAATTTATAACAATAATAATTTAATAAAAATAATTTGATAAGATCAAGAGAATATAAATAAGGATTAATTCGTATTAATAATTTCCAAGAGTTATTACGATGATATGGATTCATTTTTATTAATTATTTGAAAGAAAAAAAAAACGAAGGAAATCAATCGAGGGATTATTTCGAGAAATCTTCAAGAACGTGGAAAATTTATATTATAACTTATTATATCTAACTGCAAGCACGCACGATCTGGCAATGCAGCACTAAACGCGATGTATGTAAACAAATATTTACACAGAGTACAATGAAATGTTCGACATGTTTCATTATGTCCATGAGAAAGAAAGTGTGTTGAAACTGAAACACAGAAATGATACATAATTTCGAAAAAATTATGTTTAATAGAAAATATGTATATTTCTTTATTATTAAAAATTTTTATTACGTTTTATTACATTTAACAAAATGGATGCAAAAATATTTGATCTCTTATCTCGAGCTAAAATTCAATTTTTCGAATTCGAATATTATTCGAGTGCAAATATACTTAAACGTTATTCACATGCTATTATTTATTATCTTAATTCTTAAATTAGAAGTTTGAAACTGATCGACTTCAACACTCTTTCGATTCGTTTCTAATTCGATAAATATATGAATTATTGTTCTAAATTCAACTTCGATATCAAGAATATATTATATATAATTACATTATTTCTCTTTAACCAATCCACCTTTGTAACTCAATCATTTAAATTTTTTTTTTAAATTTTAAAATCAAAATTTCAATAGTTTTTTTATGATTGAAAAAATTTAAACTTCTACGTAACAAGAAGATTGGTTATGAGATCAATTATTCCGTATAATCGAGTTTAAAAATAAATCGTGTTGATGAATCGTATGCGCAAAAATGAAAATCTGAGAAAGAAAGGAACGAATAGAGAAACAAAAAAATAGAGGGGAGGAGAGAGGAATGAAGGATGGTAATCTGATGACGAGAAGATGAAGAAGGGTCATGACAAGGGCGAACGAAGGATGAAGGATGAAAAGATTGTGGTAGCTATGAACGTTACAGACGAAATTATACTCGGCAGCAGAGATGGGCGTCAGCAATGACGTATATGGAAGAGTGGGGATAGCGCGATATAGTAGATATATAATGGAAGCAATAGCTAGTGATGGCTTCGATCTAACTTCTCGGTAACTTTTTCTTATCTTTAGCATAGTTATAATCGATAATAACATACGAAAAATATATTTTGGAATATTTGAAAATGAATGAATGTTAATATTATATTTTGAAATTATAAAAATTATAGATAAGAATTATTTTTTTTATGATATAAGTTTGATATACGTATATATATATATATATATATTTTTATGACATATTATGTGACATTATTATTTAAAAAGTTTTTATGATGAAAAATAATTGGAGATGATCCAAAATTGCATATAAAAGAATAAAAGATCGAGATCGTGAAAAAATATCATCCCCATCGCTATGAACAGCGTGGTTGGTAGCAAAGGCAATGATAGCGGAGGTGGTGCTGGTGACTCTCGCAACTCATGAGCCAATAAGGATGGATCCAAAGAAGGTGAATGTGGTAGTAACACCAATGTGCTAGCAAAACATTGATTCTCAACTTGTTTTTTTATTCCTTCAAGACTAAACATATTGTTTTTTTATTTTTATTATTATTATTTTATTACACATTTATATATTACACATATATATTACACATTATTACACATATGAAAAATATTTCCAATGATGCAATAATAAAAATTTATCATGCATTTTATTAATTAAAATATCTAATATCATATTTATAAATTTTAATTATAATTATAATTAAATTACAATTGCGTATTTGATATTGCGTTTTATTATTAAATATAAAAATTTTATTCATAAGTATGTTATGCATCTTTTGTTACGTTTCAATTGAAAGCCATTTGAGCTAACTATATTAAGTTATCTGTATGTATGTATATTATACATCGCATATTGAAATTATTGTTTAAATGAACGATAGATGGAAAAGAAAAATAAATATAAAAAGAAAAAAAGATCTCATATCAAAAGATATTTCTTTTTATTTATGATACAATATTGAATACGAAGAGAGAAAAAGGAGAAGAAAGAAACAGAAATCCATCTTAACCTAATATGCAAATAGAATCTGTTAATTTAATCTATAATTTCAGTCTTTTTATTCATCCGTTTAATTCCATTTTCTCTTTAGATAAAAGCTCGTGAATAATTTAAATTGATAAAGAAATATTTCTTAAAAAAAAAAAATAGTTTAAAAAATATAAAATTGCTCGATCCTCTATATATTTTTTATTCACTGGATTTTTTATAATTTTTAAACAATTAATCTTAAAATATATCATAAAAATTAATTTTAAAAATTATTACGTATATTGAGATCAATAAAGTTATAAATCTATATGTTAAACGTAAATAAAAAGCATATTATCCAAGATTTATAAAAATTATTCAATGGTAATGATCGTTATTGTTATATAGATAACATTACATATTACATAGATAACATAAGATGAAGAAAGAAGAGATTTGAGAATCACTGCAATAGAGATAATCATGCTACTAATGGACGAAATAGTAGTAGTGTCGGTAATAGTGGGGATAAGGGGTTGTGGTGGTTGCTTGTCAGTGGTGGTATATAGAGGCAACGTGCTAACCGTGTGAGGGGAAACAGCCATGAATGAAAGTAGCGCGTATCGATTTACCCGTGCCGCCCTAGATAAAATATGGTAAATAGTGAGCCAAAATGGGCTACGAATGAAAAATGTCATTGCACATAATGCCATTTTTTTGGCCGTTTACCAACTAGAATTTCCTTCATATTGGATCACTTATATATAAATTTTTAGTTAAAATTTCATAAATACGATCATCTGAGAAAAATGCATAATTGAATTGAATAATAATGAAAAAAATTAATTGTAAATTATATTGCAAGAATTTTTACAATGAATCTTTTGATGATTTAAAAGATTACTAACATTAAAAAAAATTTTCTTTTGTAAGTATTAAAAGAAATTTTAAATTAAATTTTTTCTGCATTTTTAAATTCTTATTTTTAAAACAAATCCTTAAATTTATTTTATAATTAATTAATAAATCTTTAATAATGTTAATAAGCATAATATTAAATCAATTTTTTATCAATCATTTGACAAATTGATAAAGAGCAGATAGTAATCATTAATTGTATTATTTCATTATCATATCAACAAAATAACTTAAACTTATAAAAAATATTTATTATTTAAATTAAATATAATCAAACTTCAGATATATAGATTATAAAGTACAATTTTTAAAAAGTTTACTAAATTTAAATCGGAAAATGTATTCGATGTAACACAGATCAATGGAACGATTGCAGCGCTATAGGTATATCACTATCTAAAATTATTGTCTTTGGATGCCGCCATTACCCATTCATACGATTTGTCCAAGTCCCTTGCGCATCAATGGCATCAAAATATATCATTCAAAAAGACACCCAATTTTTTCCGCATAGGACACAATCTCAAAGTCTTAATTATTGTCCGAATCCAAGAAAAAAGATGGAAGAAATGCATCATCCTGAATCACTGATTCTGAGAAAAATTTTGAGATGCTTTGATGCACCAACAGATTGCAGATGCACTCTATAACAATTTACTTAATAATCATTGAATCTTTCTTTAAATCAACTTAACTCAACTTTAAATCAATTTAAAGATTGTTTTAAAATTTCTTTTAAAATGTTCTCTTTAAATTTGTCAACATGATATTTGTTAATTAATATATCTATTTTTGCTATTATGAAAATATATCGAAATGAAAAGAAAACGTGCTTACGAAACACAATATCCATTATAGAATCTGACAGATAATAGTACAAAATGAAAGTTGAAAAATCAAAGATATTTGCCTACCTTGGTCATGACAGGGGTGGGATCTTCATGCTTCCATGAAAACTTTACACAATTAGTCATCAATTCAGCAATATATCCCGGTATCGTCGAACGAGAGCGATATCACTGAAACGGTTGACCACCATTTCCACGCCATAACACGTCAAGAACGCACGATGAACGTTACTCACATGACATATCGCACGACAAGATTAATCGAAGAATCATTGATAAATAGTAAATCGACATTCGTCACGCGGTATAAAGAAAATTTGCGCGACCAAGTGGTAAACACGTTTACTTTTGCACGGTAAAAGCAACTATCCCTCCAGCAGCCCCGCGTTAAACGGTGGCTGCGGGATTGTTGAGGGTTTAGAACAACCGAACGAGAACGAAGAAGAGGTTAAACGAAGAGAGGTACATCGCTAGCAAAACGAAGATAGAAAACAAATGATTTGATACGGTGACGCATCGTGGCGCCACCCTCGATTCACCCTCTCGCATCGAATTATTTGAAAAATATATAAATATATATTTTATTCTAATTTATATTTTTTGATAATTTCTTATATTAATAACAAAATAAATTATTATATTAATAATATCTGATTAAAAAGTATTAAATATATTATATATGAAATATAAAGAAAAATTATACAATGTATAAATTGCTATAAAATTACATTAAATAATATTCATTTAATCTTATTAATTAATATTTTATCAACAATATAGATGTATTATAATAAAAAATAAAAATAATCAAAATATTTCAAATATTCTAGAAAATCTCTATTTGAAATTTATTAGAATATATTTAATTTATATTTAGAAAAATAATTCATAAAATTAATTAAAATTATTTTCACTTAATCATATAATCTTATATTTACAATGAGAATGTTATAAAAAATTTTAATAGTATTTTCATTATTCTTATCACAAACAATTGAATAAGAAAATGGAAAAATTTGTTATCTATTGCGCGATATTGAAACAACTATCATTCATTTGTCTTGTGTATACAAATTTCTCAGTATATAAACGATACACGACGTATTGAAACATGTTTTGTGTCAGAAACATAAATTTGTTGAAAAAGGTAAGTATTCATTGAAAAATGTTAAAACCAATATTAAACTTTTTATTAAATTAAATTTAATAATATTATTTATTATTCGCTATTATTATTTATTATCGCTTAACCATTATTTAGTATAAACTTTAAAATAATAAAAAAAATATAAAAAATTTTATTAGTTTATTGAATCAAATACAGTGAAATAAATATTATAATTTTGTATAATAAAATATTACTTACTTAATAATATTTATATATATATATATATATAATAAAAAAATATACATATAATAAAAACTGTTACATCTCATACTATTTATCAAATGAAAAATTGAAAATTTCGAAAATATCTATATATATATATAAATATAATTGATAATATATAGATATTATTATCTTTCGAAATATTTTTCAATTTATTTATAAAACTAATTATTTAAAAAGGATTCAATATCGAATTTATACTTGAGTAATATTATTTAATCAATTTTTTTTGTTGTTGAATTATTATGAGTATAAAAATTTTTTAAAACTATGATCTTATTTTAGACACATGTATAACAACAGAATTTTGTTAAAAATCTATAAATCTTAGACTAATATTAATACGATATCGTCAGTCGATAAAGAAATATTAGAATTCATTTTCAATTTTGATTTTCAATTAGTAATCAAAATATCTTGTTTATATTAATATAAAATTAATTATTTATTTACTTAATTTTTTTGAGATATTGATGAAAGTCAAAAATCAAATTAAATCAACATTTTAAATATTTTTTTACATTTCAGAAAAAAAAAGTAAAAAATAACAGAACTTTTACAATAATTCAAAAAATAAATAATAAGTCAAAAATAATTCAACCTATCATTTTATCAACAAATTAAAAAATTTTTTATATATTTTTTTACTGTATTTTTTATAATTTTTTTTTTAATCGTTTTCTTTCTTATTAACAGTCTTCAAATTTATATAATGCACATTCCATTTGTTCATCTCGTATTTGAATTCATATAACAAACTTTTTATTATTTATCTTAAGTAATTAAAATTTCAAGTTATTGACTTAAAATATTAAATTATTGTCTTAAAATCGTATAACAAATATTTTTATTCTTGAAAAGTTTAAAATTAACCTCATTCATCAATCATTCATTCATTTAATCATTGATTTATTATAGAACAACTGTTTTTTTTTTCTTGCTAAAACTTTTTCAAATTTTTTCAGTTAAAATGAAATGGATCATTGAGATGTAATATAGCAATAATCTAAAAAATTAAACATAAATAAAAAATATTTTTAAACTGAAGAAAATTTATAGATTACGTTTTATATTTATTTATGTTATTAATATTTATATTATTTATTATATTTATTATTTATATTATATTATATTTAAATTATTATTTATATTATATTATGCCACAAAGAGCATTAATAATCATTTTAATAATCATCGTTCAAAATAATAAAGACAAAGAAGATTCATAGGATAAAATAAATACTTTAAATGTAATAATTGTGTTATAATATCACAACACCAATCTATACATTAGTGTGTGAAGTTACTCGCTGTGTATACGAAAGGAAATCAATGTGTTCACACTATTAAACGACAGTGATTGGTGTGTAAAAATGAAATGGGGCATTGGGTGAAAGTACTCTTGGGTTGGAGGTCTTATATCAGATCAGTCACAGTCTGCCAACAGCCGTGCAGGATGTGGATAGAAGTTCTGCGTTGCTCCTAATGACCAGATTTCTTATTAACTCTGACGGAGTTTGTTTTTTTTTTTTGTTAATTTACTCAGATTTTCATAAATTATGTTATTAAAATCATAAAATTAAAAATAATTAATGTTTGGTTAAAAATTGGTGAAAAGTTTAATAGTTAGAAAGAAACGTGTTTTTGCAGAATGTTGCAGATAATATGGATATGGTGTTTAATTGTGTCAGTGGCTGATTTGACATTGGCCCTTGAAAATGGTCTCGTGAAAACACCACCGATGGGCTGGCTTGCCTGGGAACGATTCAGGTGTAATACAGACTGCAAAAATGATCCTGAAAATTGTATCAGGTAAATGATTATTTTGAATTCTTTTTATGCATTTTGACATTAACTTTAGATATATTTTATGTAGAAAAATTAGAATAATAGAATTTGTGTTCAAAATTAGAACATTATTTGTTCTTTATTTGAAATTATTTATATATAATATTTAATAATATATTATAATTTAATAATTAATTAATTAATTTAATAATATATAAAATAAAATCTTATTAGTATTTTTGTTAATTATTTATATATTTTTTAATAAATATCAAAAATTTTAATTTTCAATGATAATGAAACAAAAATATGTAATATTTTCATGTAAAAATGTTTTAAAAAATTTTATTAAACTATAAATATAAAAATTTAAAGAATTTTTTCATTTTTTTAAGAAATAAAAATCATTTTTTTAAAATAAGAAATTAAAAACGAATGAGGTATATGATTTATTGATATATTCATTTTCATATTATTTAATTTATGTTTTTAAAATATATTAAAAATTTTGTGAATAAAAAATATTATTTATTATTTATATAAATATAATAAAATGCTTTCATACTTGAAATACCATAGAATTTTAAATTAGTGATTATATTTAAAATTATTAATTGTATTTATTTTAATATTATTATAAATTATTATATAATTATTTATTTAATAATAATAATCAATAATTAATTCTTAATTTAATTTTAATTTTCATTTTTAAATTACTTATTCAAATATATTATATATTATATCATATATCATATATTAAATGTAAATGTATCATGTATTAAAAATTGTTTTCTTAAATCTGTATAAATTTTTTTTATTATTATTTATTATTATCACTTATATTTTTATTCATTATTACAAAAATTATTACAAAACTTAATCATTTACAATCACTCATTGTAATAAATATTTAGAAAAAAAATAAATATTAGAATAAATATTAGAATAAAAATAATAAAAGATAAATAATTTTATGATAATTTTAATAATATTAATATATAAATATTAAAATTAAAATATATTGTCACTTTCCATAATTATGGAATTAAAAATAAATAGCATTTTTTTTTCATAAAATATTAATTAAAAAATTTTAATTATAATTAAAAAATCATATATGATAATTTTATATGATCATTTTTATATTAAATATTAAATTATCAATATGAAACCATAAGATTTTTAATAAGTTTACTGAGAGTTGTGTCATAATTATTATGTAAATCTATTTTCTAGTCCAAGGTTTCATTAATAACATATAATGAGTAATATATGTTTTAGAAGATGAATAATTTATAGATCATAATCTAAAAAGAAAAGATTTTAAAATTGTAATTAATATGTCTTCATATTTTATAGTGATCGACTCTTTCGTACAATGGCAGACATTGTTGTAGCAGAAGGCTATGCTGCAGTTGGATATGAATATATCAATATTGATGATTGTTGGCTGGAAAAAGATAGAAGTGTTAATGGTCAATTAGTGCCAGATAGACAGAGATTCCCATATGGCATGAAAAGTCTTGCTAATTATGTAAGTTTTGATATATCATTCAACTTATCGCAGAAGTTATAGATTTATTTTTACATAATTCCATTTGGTAGATTCATTCAAAAGGTCTTAAATTTGGAATTTATGAAGATTTTGGTAACTATACATGTGCTGGTTACCCTGGAATATTAGGATATTTAGAAACTGATGCACATACATTTGCATCATGGGATGTTGATTATGTAAAATTAGATGGATGTTATTCCCATCCTTCAGAGATGGATAGAGGTATAATTAAAACAATTTAATTAATCATTACATGCTTTAATATGTTCTATATTTACAAAGTTTATAACAAATTCTAGGATATCCTGAATTTGGATTCTATTTAAATCAAACTGGTCGAGCAATGGTATATTCTTGTAGTTGGCCAGTTTATCAAATTTATGCTGGCATGCAGGTTGGTATTGACATAATATCATCATATATCATCATATATTGTGTAATTCTAAATTTTATAAAATTTTAGCCAAATTACACTGCTATAACAGAACATTGTAATTTATGGAGAAATTTTGATGATATACAAGATTCGTGGAATAGTTTAGAAACTATTATTGATTATTATGGAAATAATCAAGATGTGATTGTACCAAATGCTGGTCCCGGCCATTGGAATGATCCTGATATGTTGATTATTGGAAATTTCGGATTAAGCTATGAACAAAGCAAAACACAAATGGCATTATGGGCAATTTTAGCTGCGCCATTATTAATGTC